CCTTGGCAAACACCTCTGAGCCTGCAGAGCCCGCTGTTGACATCTCATTTTTTAGGAAGTTCATTTATCTGTGTGTGTGTGTGTGTGTGTGTGTGTGTGTGTGTGTGTGTGTGTGTGTGTGTGTGTGTGTAAAGGGCAGCAGTGGGAGGTTTGTACCGTATGCCTGAGAAATCGTTCACATCATTTTGACACACACACACACACACACGACCTTCCTTCAGTGTGTGTGTGTGTGTGTGTGTGTGTGCGTGCAGAGTGGCAGTCCTGCAGTGTGTAAAAATGTCCGACACTATTCATCTTTTACTGTTTTAATGTCTTTTTAAGTAGCAACCTTTTCCCCCGTAGAGCTAGCTCTCTCTCCCTCTCTCACTCCACACACACACACACACACACACACACACACACACACACACACACACACACACACACACACACACACACACACACACACACAGCAGAAACCTTTTAAAGGGCAGGTTTGGGTCACCAGGGCGACTGGTTTGAAGAACTTTCTGCTCAGATTGCAGCTGATCTGGAGTCAGTCTCACTCTCATTTATTACAGCTCGACTCTGTTAAAGTTAAAGTCCCATTAGTTGTCACACACATCAGTGTGTGCGACACGTGCTCTCCGAATGTGACCCATCCCCTGGGGGAGTGGTGAGCTGCAGACACGGCCGCGCTCGGGAACTATTTGGTGGTTTATCCCGCCAATCCAACCCTTAATGCTGGGTGTCGAGCAGGGAGGCGCTGGGTCCCATTTTTTGAAAGTCTTTGGTACGACCCGAGCAGGAGTCGAACCCTGATCTCAGGGAGGACACTCTACTCTAGGCCACTGAGCTGTTGACCAGAGTGCTGTACAGATAACACAAACAAACCTGCAAAGGTTAAACAGACCAAAAAAGCATCAAATAAATAAAACAACACAGCTTCAAACAAACAAGAGTGGATGACAACCATCAGGCGGTGTTACACGCCAGCGAATAGAAGAGCTTCATGAGGAGACTTAAGAAGCACAAACGAGGAGGTCCGTCTAAAAGAGAGAAAATGATGTTTGATAAAGCGCCGCTCAAAGTAAAAATCAAGAAAAAATGATTCATGTTTAAAATGACTAAATATAAAATGTGGTTAAAATGTAAGGAAAGGGAGAACCAGGAGAGGGTGATGGAGGTCCCACCAAACCTGAACAGGTGAGTTTAAAGGAGACCACTGAGTCCACTGATCTCAGGCTCAGGGGGAGAGAGGTCCAGAGTCTGGGGGCCACAGCAGCAGATGATCTGTCACCTTTGACCTTTAGCCTGGTGCTGCACAACCAGTAGGCTTTGATCACTGGACCTCAGGGACCTGCTGGGGGTGTAGGGACTAAGAAGATCACCAATGTAAGATGGTGCTTGTCCATGTAAGGCCCTACAGACCAGAACCAGGATCTTGAAATGAACCCTGAAGTTGACTGGCAGCCAGTGAAGCTGGAGGAGAAGCGGGGTGATGTGGGTGTGTTTGGAGGACTTGGTCAGAAGCCGAGCACCGGCGTTCTGAACCACCTGTAGACGGTTCAGGGAGGTTCTGCTCAGACACGTGAAAAGAGAGTTACAGTAGTCTAAGCGTGAGGAGATGAAGGTGTGGAGAACTGTCTCAAGTTCAGAGCGGGACAGAATGGGACTCAGCTTAGCAACGTTCCTGAGATGGAAGAAGGAAGAGCCAACAAGAGAACTGACATGAGAATCCAGGGTGAGAGCTGGGTCAAAGGTCACGCCAAGATTCCTGACTGAAGGTTTGGTGTGGGAAGCAAGCTGACCAAGAGAGTCTCTGACTTTGGGAACCAGCTTGTCTGGGGCACAGATGAGGATCTCAGTCTTATCTACATTCAGCTGAAGAAAGCTCCCACCATCCAGGCTTTGATAGAGTCTAAGCAGGTGTGTAACAGCTGCAGCTTAGACATCTCATGGGGCTTAAAGGAGATGTACAGTTGGATGTCATCTGCATAAAGATGGTAGGAGATTCCTTTGAAGGAGCTCAGGATGTGCTGAAGAGGAAGCAGATAGAGGAGGAAGAGCAGAGGCCCCAGCACAGAACCTTGTGGGACACCATGGGTAAGAGAGGTGGTGGAGGACCTGAACTTGGAGACGGCCACAGAGAAGGAGCGCTCAGAGAGATAAGAGGAGAACCACTCCAGAGCAGATCCTGATAGGCCTACCCAGTCTCTAAGCCTCTCCAGTAGCAGGTGATGGTCAACAGTGTCAAAGGCTGCAGTCAGGTCCAGCAGGACCAGAACAGAACAGTCCCCTGCATCACTGTGAGTCAGAAGGTCATTAGAGACCCTAAGAAGAGCTGCTTCAGTAGAATGAGCTCTACGAAAACCTGACTGGAAGCTATCATTGATGTTATGTTCATCAAGAGCAGCTGTGAGTTGTTTAGCCACAACCTTTTCCAAGATCTTGGAGATGAACGGAAGTTTAGAGATGGGTCTGAAGCTGCTATGGAGAGAGGGGTCAAGACTTGATA